TCGGTAAATAAGACCTCAGACTTCATCACTGAATGATAAAAAATTGGTATGTCACAAACATCCACCTATTTTAATGCATGTAAAAAGAGCAGGTTTGCTTTCACCTGTCAGGTGAGGAGGGAGGCAGGAAACCCAGTCTCTCATTTCCTGTAAGAACAGAACAGTTAAGTCTGTGAATGACATCAGAGAAAGCTGTAGTTACTGAACAATAAGTGTGTTAATGTTTAATTGCACAGCAGTTAGCACAGCAGTTGGTGTATTAGTGATTAATACTTTTTATCTGTTTGAAAAAATATTATAAGTAGATGGATAAGTGAATTTATTACAATGGGAAGTGGGCCTTGGTACCAGTTAGGTAGCCATAAGTTAGAATATCACCAGGCAGCTTTAACTGAATTTGAGTAAAGTGTTGATGTATATTTGCTATCTTTTTGATACTGTGCATATATAGCATTGTAAATCTTTTGCCTATAAAAGTGAAGGGGAAAAAAAAAGTGATTTTCTACCTCCTTACTTCAGATAATTTCATTATGAAGAACTCGCTTAAAAAAACCAGAATCAATTGCCAAGGCAGGCTGTGCTTTTTTTTGTGACTTTCACAATCATTGTGATGCTGTAGAAATTCCTTGGGTTTGACTTACATGGAAAAGCAGAGGCCATTGTCATCTTCATAAGGCTTTAAACAATCACTTCCTGTAGCAGTTTAACAGTCAAAAGGAGTAACAAAAAGATGATGATGCAAGTTGTCTCTGTAGTAGGGTCATAATCAATGAAGGAAACATAATAGTTATGATTCTGCTGAGATTTATGCAAGTAAAGGTACTACTACTATTAATATTTAATGCTTTATTAAGCTTGTATGTGCTTCTGGCCTATACTGTTGCAGGTCTTGAATAAGGCAGGCACAACATTCAGGAGAATGTTGTTTACTATAAGATGGAAATATCTCTTCTTTTTTCTTTTTTTTTGTTTTAAGCAGAAAAAGTGCCTGTACAACACAGGCACACAAGCAAGTACTTTTGATGTTTTTACAGGCATCAGTTGGAATATAAGCTTACTCTTCCACAGTGTTTATCTAGTATCTTTGCCTGAAGAAGGGACCAATGGATTGAATTCAAAATAATGATTCATAGTGTTGTTTAGGTTTTAAAATGTGAAAGATGAGGTTAAGGTGAAGAGAGACATGGGAACAGGAAAGCTCTGATGCATCTCTAATAGAAGGTTGTGTGTTGGTCTAGACAGCACTGGTTTCAAATGAAATGAAAGGGAACCAAAAATTAATATAAGTAAAAAAGTAGTCAGTCAAAGTTGTTTGTTTGTGTCCTGCTGAACCCAAATCTGTATGAAACATGTCAAGATTTTTATGGCATATTCCGTGAAAGACAGCTGTTTTCTGGATATGTGTCTTGGTTCTCCCACTTTGTTTCCTTTATGTGGATTTTGTGTTTGTGAACATGTCTTCATAAATGTCCTATCTGACCTAAGCCTACTAAGGTCTTGTTGGTTACTGGGAGGTGCAGTCACAGATTCACAGAATATTAGGGGTTGGAAGGGACCTCCATCGTTTCCTTGTAAGGCAAGTGTTCCAGTCCCTTAGTCATCCTCATAGCCATCTGTTGGACTCTCTCAAGTATATCCTTGTCCCTCTTGAACTGGGGAGCCCAGAACTGGACACAATACTCCAAGTGAGGTCTCACCAGGGCTGAGTAGAGGGGGAAGAGAACCTCCCTCCATCTGCTGGAAACACTCCTCTTAATGCACCCCAAGATACAATTGGCCTTTTTGGCCACAAGGGCACATTGTTGCCCCATGGATAACTTGTCTATCAGGACTCCAAGGTCCTTCTCCACAGAGATGCTCTCCAGCAGATCACCTCCTAGCCTGTACTGGTGCATTTTGTTGTTCCTTCCCAGGTGCAGGACTCTGCACTTGCTCTTGTTGAATCTCATTAGGTTCCTCTTTTCCCAGCTCTCCAGCCTGCCCAAATCTCACTCAATGGCTGCACAGCCTTCAGGTGAATCAGCCCATCCTCCCAGCTTTGTGTCATCAGCAAACTTGTAGTCTTTGCCAACTCCATCATGCTGGCCATGGTACTTGCACTGTCAGTCAAAATGGCTAATCACAATGAAAATTAATTTCACCAAAAAAGACCACTTATTGGTTTGGTTTTCAGTCAGATCACTTTTCTGACAGAATGAGTCAGATCACTTTTCTGACAGAGGGACTAGCAGAAACATGCCTGTCAGATACAAGGTGAATTTAGGTCTCTTGAACTCACGATAAACTGTGTCATATAAGATAATTTTCCTATGCTGTCTGAAAACAGATGAAGTCATAAGCTGTAGCATGTGTGTAGGATGAAATACCTTTTCTTGTTTCATACAACTGTTAATCCTGAGAAGCAGTCCGGAGTTCAACTAAGTCATTTCAGTAGAAGGAGTAAAGAGTGGGAGACAACTTGCAAGCAATCTGTTCAAATGAAAATTTGTCATTGCTGCAGAAGCTACTTAGAGAACTTGCCCGTTTCCCAAGAAGGCAATTTCACGTATCTTTTCTGAGGTTAGGCCTGAGTTGAGATGTTCTTACTGGCTCAGCAGAGTCTTAAGCAGAGGCCAGCACTGCCAGTGGTGCAGAACATATTAATTGTATAGTTCTATGTGGTGTGGACCACTGCCTATCAAAGATTGGTAACAAAGATCACTAGAAGCATTTCAATTAGGAGACCGTGCTCTCTGAAGTAGATTTGCACCCCCTCTCTTTGTTTTTTTTAAACCTAGCAGTCCAGAGACTATGCTATTTTCTGCCTCTGGTAACGGTCAAATAGAAGTAAGAAAATAGCTCTTCACTGAAGACAGGGATATAAAATTATCTTGAGATAAATAAAGTAGCAACTGTATACTTCTTGTTTTTACAGATGCTTTGAAAACCAATTAAATCCAATTTGAAGGTTCCCTTGTCTGGCATCAAGTAAAGATAAAGCAATTTACAGTTTCATAACACTTGCACAAGAAATTAAAACAGTCTTACAGAATGAGTCTTTTGGGCTTAACTTTTGTAAAGTTCATGTGGGCCTACTCATACAGCAGTATTTAACAGTACAATAACAGTACAATTAGACATGGGTGGAGAGAGAACACAGTCTGCATATCAGAAGTTAATGGTTCTATCTGTGATTTGAATAACCATCACTGACTGTTTGGCCTTTGTTTCTATTAATGAAGGCTTGGAAAAATCATGAAATGGCATCCGCTCAGTATCAGTGAGTGACAGGTTGTGCTAAACTAGTAGTTTTGATGTAGCATCCATTGATTTCTCTAAGATTGAGTGTTGAGGATGGCAAGCAGAAATATGTTTTAAATGCCACAGGTATGGACATGGTTGTTTGTCTATCCCCCTTGTGCTTTCTCAAGCATGAAGATCTTCTATGATGAGTTTTTGGAGAGAGACACTTGCAATTCTCTCATTTGGATGCTGTGGTAACTACATGCTTCTCAATTTTCTCTCTTGTCTTCAGGTGCTGGATTTCTGCTGTATATCATGAAGTTATTAGCAAATGAAAAAAGAAACATTAAATAAATGCACATAGTTACACCTTTAAAATACTTTTTAGATTGTCAAATGCTTGATTAAGAATTCTGAATTTATGTACATCTGGTTTTACGTCCTTTTTTGGAGTCTGGAATTTAGCATTGTCTCTGCTTCCAGGCAATGTGTCCACCAAAATCTGTGTTCAGGATTATTTCCCCTATGTTAAGTGCTGTGTTCCCCATCTCTTCAGACCTGTTAAAATGGTTACTTCAGACCATGTTTACAGGTCTGAAGTGAATAGCCTTCCTTTTTGTTTAGCTCTGGACTTCTTTCCTGGCTGACCAGATGGGCAACTTAAAAATATTGGTATGTTGTCCACATCTGAATTCAGAAGACTGATTTTCAGGATATAACTTCTTTTGTTGTTTCTTTTTATCACTGCTCCACTTACTGATCTGAGTTGTCCTCTTAATGTGTTGCCATTTATGTAGTGCAAATAACAAAGTTATGTCAAACTGAAGCATTAGGATAGTTTGTTCTCTTTTGATGGTAGCAAGTCTTTCTTGTGTTTTCACTTGGAATGCTGGACTTCCCTAGTGAATAAGTAGTTTGATCTGCAATGTGGAAAGGCTGATATCCAATGGGAAGGAAATGAGAGACATAGGTTGTTGTTAACAATAAACGGTAGCTTTGTTATTGCCAGCTTTGATTTGAGGAGGAAAATTAATAAATCAGACAATAAATATGTGTTATTGCGAAACATGAAAGCTTAGGGAGATTGTGCAGTGTCTTAATACACTGTTATTTCTTCTGTAAAGACTATTTAAGTTCTGGCTGTGCACCCAAATAAAAGCAAGCTTGCTGCTCTTCTGTTCCTTCAGATGCTTCTGCAGCTCACAAAAACTAATACACAATTTTAAAGAATTCAGCATGCTTGGGAGCATCTGTTTCAAGACAGAACTCCTTAACACAACAGGGCTGACCTACATAGACAGGAGAGCTGGAAAACTTGTTTGATTTCACCTGTATCTTGTGCTTTGTTCAAACTTCTACTGCTAATCCCTCATTTTTCTGTGAACTGAAGTTACACAACAGATGTTCACATAAATTTACCTGAACTCTTTTGGTCCAAATTGCTAATTCTTTCTTCCTACATAAAGTGCTATCTTTTGGACTTTGGAAAGAGAGGAGCAATGCCCACAAGCCTTCAGTTTTTGAGGGGATCAAGTGTTTTGATAAAAAGACTGCTGTGAAAGGCAATAGCATTCCCCCTGTAGCAATGGTCCTTGACTTGTGGTGCTTTCTTGTATCTTTACAGTCTGCTTTTAAGAGGATGTGTTACCCCACCTAGTATTGCTCACAGAGAACTGAAAGATCCATGTAGCATTTCATAGCACTGTAACTTTTGTTGAATTTCTGAGTGCATGTTTTGAACTGATCACAAAAAAACTTCTGATATACTCTTCCCACAGAAACTGAAACAGAAGAATCAGCAGCTGAAGCAAATCATGGATCAGTTACGGAATCTCATTTGGGACATAAATGCCATGTTGGCAATGCGGAACTGAACAAGGAAAATCAAACTTTGCAATTGGAAAAGACACAAATTTGTTTGGATATACTTAATTTCTTTCTAAGAAGTAACATGTTGTTTCCACAATCATATTGCACTAATGTTTGAAATGTCTTTGAGATTAAAATGTTGGGTTTTTTATAATAACTTAAATGGTGTTGGCTTTGGTTTTAGAAAATACTTATCCTACAAGTTTTACCTAAGTGATTACCCGAATGTAATACAGCCTAAGTAACCTACATCAATATATAGATTGCTATGCAAATGGGAGTTTTTATAAATGAAGTGTTTCTGGATTTTTTTTATAATACAATTAACACTGTTTAAAAAAAGCTGTATTTTCATGCCATTCTGCAGTATCTCCACTATAGATAGGAAAAGTTGCACTGCAGAAATGCCACTCTAATTTAAAGTTACAGGACCAAAACAAGTGATCAGATGTTGCAATTCAATATGTTTCCCCATTGTGGGAACCTATACTACAGCATACTGTGCGATATAAGTTCATCTTATTACATATGTTATCACTGGGTATATGTTATATTAGATAATCGGAGCAAAATTCAAAAGCTACATAAAATTACCCCTAAATCCTATTGAAGTGAAGACAACACTCTGCAACATTATATCCACAACATTAACTTCTTGTGTAACTACATATTGTAATTTCTTGAGTATTGCTACAGCAATTTTATAGTGTAGTATCCTTATAACATTATGTATGGTTGGTATACTTTGTTTACCAGAGTGGACTGAGTAAACACCTCATTAACCTTTTCTCTATGGCTGCCAGTCCTAGGAAACCTTGGAGTATATGAGCAGTTAATTATTTTGAATTAATCATCAACCTTAATCCTTCTTTATGCTGTCTCTGATATTCCACACAATTTTCATTGGCCCTGAAAATATTCTTAATCATTTTTGTTATCCACAGATGACTGCCAATAGAATGTGTGTCTTTTTTCCCAGATGAAATATGTAAAATAATAAGTAATAAGTACAAATTCATAGGGCACTCTACTGCTAATATTTGTCAAGTTGAAAACTGACCATCCTCATGATTTGCCTCTTTGGTATTACTTTTAACACAGATTCCTTAATAGTTTTGAGTGAAATATTTGCTCAGAACCTTCTGAAGAGTCCAGTTAAGTGTTATCCTTTAAAAAGATACATCTTTTTACAATATGGGGGTTTGAGACAGGATTCTCATTTATTTCAGATGCATGGTTTTAAAAATGTTATACTGCTTTGCTGTTTATCAGTCTTCTGTTGCTGCTTAGTTTTTTAATAATTTCAACCCACTTGTCTACTCCCTGAAGTAAAAATCACTGGGCTGTAATAGATCTGGTCACACCTGGTTAACAAGATGACTTTCTCCTGAAATGAAGTACCACATAGTTATCTTTTATTTCTCCTTTTGAAGGCTTTCAATCTGAGAGATGAATGGATGCTGAGCCTTATAATTGCAAATAAATAGAGTTAGAAAATATTAATTTTGATTAGTTTATCCACTGTTGAAAGGGATATGTAAGTGTGACAGTAGCTAGATGTGAATGGATGTCAAAACACCTTACTGATCTGGGCACTTTCTTCTCTCCCTTGTTACAAACAGAGGAGAGGGTACCTCGCTTCCTGGCAAAGGTTGCAGCAGAACTCTGTGTTTCTCACAGAGATTGACCTCTAGGGCAGACTTGCTCATCAGGAATAATGATTGATTTCAGCAGCTCTGAGCCCATTGCTGTTTTGTATTAAAAGAAAGAGAAAACGGATCAAAATTCTGAAGATAGATTTTTGAAAAGGAGATGAAGATTGAAAGTAGAGATTTTTATTTTGTTGTATAAGATGCAGTTACATTTGTGTATTTGCAATGTGTAGTGGCAGCTTTTTGTTCAGTATGTATATAAGCATTCATCCAGCCTACAGGTATTTTAAGTGGATTTTGAAATGGCATCAAGGTCTTAATTGTGAGTGTAAAATTCTTGGTATTTTGTTCTGGTTTTGGAACAATTATGAAAAATTGAGATTAGTCTAGACTTTACTGCCTGGATACTTATCTGTGTATTCTTACTAAATGTCTGTAAAGTTTGTTGACTTTTTTATTGTGTATAAGCTGTGCTGAAGTAACCTGAAATGTCAATAAGAGTGCAAATATTGCAAGTAGATCTCTGGCCAATACAATATTCAGCTTAGCCTGTGCAGCTGCTGGCAGTAGCCAAGGTTTATACCACAATTTTTCATCTGGGAGAGAGGAGAAAACACTTCAAGCCACTACCAGAGGAGATAGTGCAGTAGGTAAATTGCAAAGTGCAGAAATTGACAGAAGTGTAAATTATCACAGTAAATACTGTCAAAACAGGAACTTTGCAAGGTGTTGGACCAAAACCATACACTTTGACTTACACAGATGAAAGTGAGAGTAGTGAACATAATTCATGTGCTACCACATCCATGAATAAGTATAGGATTTGGCTGAAAATATGAGAGTTCTAAGAAAAGTGGCAATTCCTTAGCTGTGGAACAGTTTTAAAGACATTACTAGGCATCAACATGCTGAAATTTAATATTTTAGATAATGCTGACTGAACTTTAACTGCTGGTTAATGAACTGGCATCAAATGAAGTATCTACAAATACCAGCAAAGCAATACCCACAGGGATGTTTCAATGTTTTGTTTATATATCATTTAATATTTCTTTCTTATTAGGCAGAAGCTGAATAAACACACATGGTCTCAGGAGCAGATACCAAAACCTAGGATTTTTCTGGTTTTGGAATATAAAAATATTTGAAGGGGTTTGGGTTCTTAGGGCTCTGTTTTGCCCAGAGAGGACTGCAGGCAGTGGAGCTAAATTGCTGAATACTTTGTAGGATGTTTGTGGGAGCACCCCAAGTTAACACATACCCTCATAAGTCCTGTGAGGAGCAGCTGAGGGAGCTGGGGTTGTTTAGTCTGGAGAAGAGGAGGCTGAGGGAAGACCTCATTGCTCTTTACAACTACCTGAAAGGAGTTTGGAGTAGACCAGAGGGAATGGATGCAAGCTGCACCAGGGGAGGTTTAGGTTAGATATTAGGAAGCATTTCTTCACTGGAAGGATTGTCAGGCATTGGAATAGATTGCCCAGGGTGGTGGTGGAGTCACCATCTCTGGATGCATTTAAATGGCATGTGAACCTGGTGCTTAGAGACATTGTTTAGTGGTGAGCTTGCAGTGTTAGGTCTAGGGCTGGACTGGATGATCTTGGAGGTCTCTTCCAGCCCAAGGACATTCTGTGATTCTGTGATTCAAAATTAAACAATAAATCCAGCAACTTTGTAGACAGTTTAACAGAGATTGACTGTGTGGGTCACTTTTACAACACAGAAGATGTCTGCTAAGAAGGATGCAGATAGAAAGGGACAGTTGTTTGCTGCAAACTGAACACCACTAACTGGCTGTCGGACACTTCTACACTGCCAACTTCCTTGCTACAAATCCCAGCACTTGTGGATGAAAAACGAATCAGATTAATTACAAAAATTCAATAGAAATCCTGAAGTTGTGAAAGTCACACAGGCAGTGTTTAATACAGGTGAGGATGACAGGTTCAGAGCAGGAAGTGTTAATAAGTGCATTGGTAACACGCCTTGTTTACTAATGGGTAAAGAAAACCAATGTTCATGGGTGGCAGAGACAAGTGCTGGAGCTGGCAAGGTTATAGCTCATCCCAGCTCTTTTTCTTGACTGCCAGTGGAGACTGGGGGTGATGTCCAATTGGATCTGCACTGGACCTGTGACAAAAATGGCTTCTCCTGCCCACCGTCCCCTTGGCACCTTCTGCACTGGCAGGTGCACGGTGGGCACAGGATTTCCTGTGGGAGGATGTGCCACCAACATGGCCCTGGGGCTCCAGGGACCCATGGCTGTGGTCCCCAGGAGGCTGGAACCACCTGTGGTAGGGCATGGGGCACAGGGAAGGGCACCAGGAGAAGGGGCAGAAAGCAGCATCCCCAGACACTCTCCTTTTCGCGGGGTGCTCTGGGTGAGCAGTCCCTGTCCCAGCTGGGTGAGGAACTTGCTGCCGCTTCCACCTCTGATCTTGAAGGGGTGCTGGAGAGGCTGGGTGGAGGGCAGGGGTTAACCCCCAGGAGGCTCTGGGGCTGGATATGTGGCACAGCCATGGCACAACAGGACTGGGGACAGTCCAGGGGGCAGGGGCCCTCCTCTTTAGGGGGCGCTGGGGCCCTCCGGGTAAATGATCCCTGCCCTGGCCAGTAGAGAGACCTGCCACTGCCTCCTCCAGTTACTTTTGGAGATGCTCCTGCTCTGTAGGTACTGGCACAGATGAGGGGTGACCAGGACCCCCATGGAGGGCAGCCTCCAATGTGCTGAGTTGTTCCTCCACATCAGAGCCTGTAGGGCTGCAGGAGGAAGCCAAACTGCAGTCAGGAGTCTCCCTCCAGGAGGTGGTGGGGCTGGCTGCAGGGCCTTCCAGAGTATGACAGAAAGTCCACAAGCTCAACTGCTTATGGACCCCAGGATTGATCACCACATGGGTTGTGCCATCCTGTCATCCGTTATTGCCTCTGGCTTCTATAATAATTTAGAGTCATTAGTCCAAGCGCTTCTTTTTTTCTTTCAGAAGAGCATTGTCTGTTACTTTTCAGTTTGATTGCACAAGACTGAAGATTGCTAAGTCGGCCTTGTGGGTCTGCCCCTTAAAATCTGGTGAGGTGACCACCTATATTTGCTATTCACAGTGCTTCTCACTTGTTGCTGTTTAATGGTAGGTGAATACCAAACCCAGGAATTAGTTTTCTCTGAATTTTCTTTTTGCAGCAGTTGTTTCATCTGCAAGTTGACAAGGAGAGTTCTCCATCCTGAGAACATATCTAAAATGACAAGGACATCCTCAAAATTACATCATCTAGGCTTCTGAATAAAATATCAAATCCACAAATTGTCCCCATGGTGCCAAGTATGCAGCTGTGCTGGTCTTCTTCTGTCTTACATCACTTCCTTGAAAAGTTGTCCTAACCATATGAAGACTTAAGAGTTTGAAGGGTGCTGTTCTAGCAGGCTTCAATCTTTTACACCCTCATTTCTGACAAAATGAAAGCCCCATCCTGATTGTTCCAGCTACTGAACTATTT